GTTCCTCTGGTGGAACTGATGGAGTATTCCTGGACCAGGGGAAGGGAAAGAAAGAGGAAGAAGCACTGAGCTGCAGCCCCAGCAGCACCACGCACCCAGCAAGCCAGCAGTTCAGTGATGGTGTGAATGAGCTGCAGTAGCACCTGCACCATGTAGACCCTGACATGAATATGTTTTTAAATAGTGCCTGCTGTGAGCCCAGCAGATGGCATTATGGTTACATCACCAGATTCCTATGTAGTCAACGGCAGTTTGAGTCCTGGACCTGCTGGCTTAAAACTCACACTGGGCACGTATGCATGTGTGCCCAAAATCCTGGGAGGAGAATAGAGGAGAAGAGATTGCAATTGGGGGAGTGGTGATTTCTTGCTTTCTCTCTGTCTCTCCATCTCTCCAGTGAACGCACGCACAATATAGCCAAAATCTCTCTCCCGAAAAAAGTGCCTGCTGCTTCATTCCCAGGTTCTAAATGGGAAGCAGAGTGCCTCCATGGCACACGTCGACTTAGAGCTATGCAGGGAAGGGAATGCTGAGAAAGGTGGTGTGGTTAAGTTGACACAATACAAATCCACACCTCCTTGTCCGGGTTATGCATGACCCTCACCAGTAAAAAGACTACAGCTCGCTGAAGACTCAGGTGATCATTAGTAGTTTTTAGCTATAAAGAACTTTTCGTTAAGGTCTATACATTATGATTTTAGACATAATGTTATTACACACTCAACAGACTATAGTGTAAATATTACTTTATATACACTGGGAAAGTAAAAACTTCATGTGACTTGCTTCACTGCAGGCTGGAACCAAACCAGTGTATGCCTGAACTCTATGTATACTTGTCACATTTTCTTTTCCACTCATCTACTGATGGACAGTAAGGTTGATTTCATATCTTGGCTCTTAGGAATAATCTACCTGTTTGATTCACTCATTCATTCATCCATTATTAATTGCTATAGAGTGTGTATGCTCACCAGAGATAGAGGGAAAGTGAGAAAACACATAGCCCCCTACTCCCACCAGGAGGAATGGCCATGCCACTATCTTTTTTCCTCCATATCTCCTCTTGGAATTTTGGACATGTTTGCACATGCGCCCTGCATGTCTAGCCAACAGCTTTCAGGACTAGAACCTCACACTTGGCCTTGTGGGATCCAGGTGCCTTAAGCACCATGTCACTGGCTGGCTGTTATTTATTTTTATGTCTTTTTACTATTTTTTAATTTAATTTTTTTGGAGAGGTTTTTGCTATAGGGTGCATGCATTTGCCAGAAAGACAGAGACAGAGAGACAGAAGGTGAGAAATCACTCCCCAGGAGGGATGACCTTGTCGCAATTCAGCTCCAGGACTCAAACCATGGCCGATATAGCCATTACACCAACTGCTGGTGCCTAGTGCTAGAAATTTTTTAAGATATAAATTGTGTTAAATATCTTCATTTTTATGACTTTTTTGGTTGATATTTTGGCTGATTGAAGAAATGGATATTTAAATTTTTTTCAAGGATCAGGGCCATTATTTACCTCATCATTAACTTAGAGACAAGATCTTAACCAATTTTTATCAACCTTGACTAGTGAAGCAACTAGTAATAAGTCCTTGCTTCTCTTACCCAACATGAAAACTGCTTCTTTTTGTCAGCTTCCCAGATCGGATATGAGAAGTTTCTGCTCAAATTGATCAGAATGGAATTTTGGAAAACTGAAGTCTCTTTTGGTCTGGAAATTGAATTGCTCTACTACTGGAAATGTTCATTTTGGTATGTATATTTTACTCTATCCTGTCCAAGGAAACTAAACTGACAAAGCACATGTTTGGCTATTGTGACTAGAAATGGAAAATGCTTAAGAAACAAATTTGAAAGAAAGAAACTGACAGAAAAAAAATAATTTTGGATTCTTAAGTTGAAGATACTATCTTAGGAAATACTGCCAATTACCTTTCTCTACCTCCAAAAACATATTTTTCTTTATCGCTAGCATAGAACTTTTGAAGAGCTCTGTGCTATCGCAACCATTTTCATCTTATTGTGCTGAGCAGTTTGTATCATGAATTTACATCTTAAAAGTTGTAGTCTAGGCACTGTGACTTTCAAACAATTGACAAACCTATTCCCATGTCAAACCCTTTGCTTCATCAGCAGTGATTTTATTCCCACTCTTTTCAAAGGCATTTGAACTGCCTGAAAAGCTAAGGGACAATTCAAGTGAGTGTGCTGCACTGGTCGTCTCCAGTGTCCCTCTATTCAAATTCATGCATGTAATCTTCTGGGTAAGAATGATGCTTCAAAAGGCACCATCACAGTTATGAGGAACAGATGTCATAAAAGAGAAAACCAACAACAACAACAGTGAAAGTTTCCTTCTTGAAGGAGAAGTTAATTTTTCTTATTCTGGGTATGTGAGTGTGCACCAGTTATATGCTTGGAGATAATACTAAAGTTAGGGAGAGAAACATCGTACATAAGCAGGGTTTGGTCCTGCTAGACCGGCTAGTTTGTCAAACATACCTTGAATGGTTGGTGAAGTATTAGGTTACTCTGTCCATCATTTATTAGACACTGACAAACATTTCTATCTTGCGGATTTATACAGGCACTCAATATCATCCAAAACCCTTGATCTTTAGGTGCTTAGGCATCAAACTATTAAAATAGTATTGATTGGGTTGGCTCTGTAAGTTGACGATTAAGGAAGCAAGATCCCATGTGGTGATCCATGTGATTCGAATCCTGGCCTTGGCAGCTTGAATAAACTATTGGGTGGAGGTGTGGGCATACCCCAAATTTCCCAGTGGAGAGATGGAGGGGAAGGGATTACAATGTGACTATGCCCCACTGAGGATGCTTTCTCCCTCTCTCTCTCTCTTTATCTCTCTATCATCCAAAACCCTTGATCTTTAGGTGCTTAGGCATCAAACTATTAAAATAGTATTGATTGGGTTGGCTCTGTAAGTTGACGATTAAGGAAGCAAGATCCCATGTGGTGATCCATGTGATTCGAATCCTGGCCTTGGCAGCTTGAATAAACTATTGGGTGGAGGTGTGGGCATACCCCAAATTTCCCAGTGGAGAGATGGAGGGGAAGGGATTACAATGTGACTATGCCCCACTGAGGATGCTTTCTCCCTCTCTCTCTCTCTTTATCTCTCTCTGTCTCTGGCAAGCATATGAAGCATCTGTGAATTAAAAAAAATTATAAAAAGGTTAAATTCTATTTGTTGGTTTTACTATAAGCCATTGATTGCCAGTGGCTTTAAGTCCCTTAAACATTTTTTTTTAAATGCTTTGGTTTTGCTCTGTTTGGAAGGTTAGATTTGGTGAAAAGCAATTATGAGGAAACTTCAAAACATTTATGGAAAAATAGAATTAAAATATGAATTTACTTAGGGGCAAAACTATTTTGAAATCCACGCATAACATTTTCATAATACACACTTTCCATGTCTTTTTTTTTTCTTTTGAGAGGATTTTTTTTTTTTTTTTTTTTTTTTTTTTTAAGGAACTTCCGC